AAAGTTAGTGCTCATAACTTGGAATTGAATGTGCATGACATGAATTTACCTACATGAGTGATGTTTCCACTAGGGCATGACATGATGCCATTTAGTGCTAGTGGGTTAAATACAAATTAATTTTATTCAAGTTAAGATAACCTTTTAGATTAGATTGGAGATCAGATAAAAATTTTCAAGCTGTTAAAGAAATTTCTGCATCTTTTATGATTGATAGTTTCTTATTGTATTCTTTGATTTGAAGTCATAAAATGCATGTTTTCATTACATATTTACAGACAGGGAGAAACAAAGAAACAAGGATAAACAAGATGACTTGGATGAAACTGCCTTGGATTATGAAGCTATGGACAATGATGATGATGATGATGATGATGAAGGAGAAACAGCCAAGAAGAGCAATGGCACAGTGAATGAAGAACCCAAAAGCCATGACCAGTCTCCCATTGCAAATGAGGGTGCAGCAGCTGAGAAAGAAGAAGAAAAAAATACAGTAAAGGATCAGAAGAAGGATGAAGCAAGTGATCTTAAGAAGGGGAGCAAGGATCGCAGTGGCAGGGCTCACTCTCATGACCGAAGGGCAAGGGACCGCTCCAGGTCCCGTGACAGACGCCAGGACAGGTTTCGCAGCAGAAGGGACCGCTCCAGGGAGAGGCAGAACAGACCCCGTGACAGACGGGGACGTTCAAGGGATAGAAACAACCGTCGTGACCGGTCAAGGGACAGGTCACGTAATAGATCAAGGGACAGGTCACGAGACCGATCCAGGGACAGGTCAAGGGACAGGTCAAGAGACAGGTCAAAGGACAGGTCAAGAGATAAGAGAGATAGGTCCCGCAGTAGAGATAAGACCAATGAGAGAAGGAGAAAGTACTCTTCTGGAAGTGATAGCAGTGATAGTGATTGATGTATTGGCAAGAAATGGAGAGAGAGAAATCACTCCTAAAACACACATTTCACTTTGCTTGTAACATTTGGAAATATTTTGGATTACAAAATTGATATATATGTTTTTTTTGTTTTTTTTTTCCAATGTTAAGAATTTTCATTGTGATATGTGGAATATGGTAACTGTGATTGAATGATTTGGTAATGTTTAATGTGGATGTTACATGTTACAACTGAAATACAGGTGATTACCATTAAAATTAAAATAAATATTTACATTTTCAGATATCTTTCCTTATAGAAAGCACAATTTGATATAATGGACAATACTTACAGAACCCACAAACACATGAGCAAGAGTACACAATTAGATATGCACTGCTCACAAAAGAAGCCAGACTATGAAATGATGGAGTGTGTGAAAACTGGTGGAATTTTTTTCATGGTGGTTAGAAAACTGAAGGAAAAATGATGTGATGTTTTTATGGTAATTATTATTATTGTAATACTCTTTCCTACAGCTCATCATTTTTATCATCACATAACCATTTTTTTTTTACTACAGTATTATCACTGTTACTTTTTTACTGTTGTGACTGATGTTAGTGCTTTGTTTTTGCTGCATGTTTGAAGATGTGATGTACCAGTGGCTTTATTTTTGTATTGATTGTATGTGAGATGTATACAAAGAATAACAAAATAGAATTGTTAAAATCACACACTGGTCAGATGCTGTAATGGCACCAGAAAACCAACTAAAAGTGGAATTGTGGGGAGTCAGGTAGGTTTTAAGACTAAATTTTCAGGAATAAAAAGGTGGCATGTCCCTAAATTTTGGGATCAGACAAAGTTTTGATAATAGGAAAATGTTCATATTTTAAGGTAGTTTCCTTTGAGAAATATAAATTCTTTGATATCAAGCTGGCCAAACATAGTTTTGTAGGAGTAGATCTACCAAATCATTTATGGCCCAGTATCCACATATGTATCACATAAGGTCAAGTAGTGTACTTTCATTTGTTTTTTTAGACCTTGGGAGATAATTGTGTGTATTCTTTCTCAAACTTTAAGAGAAAATTAAGTATATGTGCTATGAATATTGACTGACTCCTGATATGAAATATTAATCCTTGAAAAATAAAAGTGAAAGATAATTTTGTTTTATTTTGCCATACCTTTAGCTAATCCTCATCAGTATCATTAAATGACTTGCATGTCAACTTTGTCATGACTAAGGATGTAGAATAAAATGACATTACTATTTTTAAAAAAAGTAAGTGGGTTATATAGAGTATACTGAAATAAATTATAATAAAAAAAACGTTTTAACCAGTATTGACTTCACAAAGCTTTCCCTTCCAATCCCTTGCCTGTTGTTTCAGTGGGGGGGGGGCTTAGGAGGCAAAGACTGGGTACCCAGTGCTGGGGAATTCCCCTACTTGGGACTTAGCCTTCAACTCAACTAATTTTGCTTGGTCTTTTTTCTTCTCCTGCTTTTTTGTTTTTGTTTCCCCAGCCCCTTCTACTATCCACTTCCTAAAGTGTGAGAGCCATGCTGAAAGGAGGAAAGACTGACTTTGGGCCAGTCCTGAATGGGCTGAGGGAGCCATGGGCACGGTATTCCTATTTTAGTGGTCTATCCCTTACTGTTTCTCTCCCCAATGTACTCCAGGCTTACCATGGCCAATAATGATGTTATACCTTATTAATTGAGGAATGGGAATGAGGCTTCCCTCTTCATCAAATTAACCCACCAATTCAAACTCTCCCGATTCCTCGACCCCAGGCTCTCTTTTGACCACGACTCCGAACGCTGCAACTACTACCCCCTCCTCAATGCCTACTAGTACATTATTCACCCACGTCAACACTCAATCTCCAGGACATATTCCTATTACTCAACTTCACCTCTATCCCCACAACCTTCATCAAGTACCCCACCCTCCCTTATTACTTTACAGCCTTAGTGTCCATCTCTCCATACTACTACTCTGTCAATACTACTCCCTCTTCCACATGCCCCGTCCTTTTACAAATCTCTACAAATATCTTAAATACTCGTGATCCCTCCCACTGCTCCTTACTTTGACAACACTTTTCTCTTCCAGCAATGTCTCCAAAAATAAGTAGGTAAAGTCTCTCTCCGTAGCCGACCCGATCGTTCCCGTCTCGTCACAGTAACATCTCCCCCCCCCCCCCCCAAATTCCTTACCCGTTTGTTGTCGTGGGGGGAGGGGGGGGCTTAGGAGGCAGAGACCCAACCTTGGGACTCAGCCCTCGACTCAACTAATTTTGCATGGTCTTTTTTCCCTTCCTACTTTTTCGTTTCTGTCCCTTCATCAATCCCTTCTACTATCCACCTCCTAAGGTGTGAGAGCCGTGCTGAAAGGATGAAAGGCTGACTTTGTGCCAGTCCTTAACAGCCTGAGGGAGCCATAGGCACGGTATTCCCCTGATTTAGTTACCTAGCCCTTACCCCTCAAGGGGACCCTGAGGGGTGGACTGTTTTTCTCCCCAACATACTCCAGGCTTACCATGGCCAATCATGAAGACATAACTCCTCTATTAGGGGTAATGGGGCTTGCCCCTTTATCAAATAGCCCCAACGATGCAAACCCTCCCGATTCCCTGACCCCAGGCTCTCCTTTGACCACGGCTCCGAACACTGCAACAACTACCCCTCATCAATGCCTACTAGTACAGTAGTCAACAATCAACCCGCAAGAGACATTTCCACTCTCCCAACATGCTCAACTTCAACACCTCTACTCCCACAACCTTCAACATCAACTACCCCATCCTCCCTTATTAATACCTTACAGCCTTATTGCCCACCTCTCCTTAACACTACCTCCTCAACACTACTCCCTCTTCGTCACGCCCCCGCCCTTCTACTACTCATATCTCTACAACAATCTTAAATACTCTATTTAGCGCAGCCAAGTGGGACCGATTTTTCGTGATCCCTCCCACAGCTCCCTACTCTGACAACACCTTTCTCTTCCAACAATGTCTCCAAAAACAAGTAGGCAAAGTCTCTTTCCGTAGCCGACCCGACCGCTCCCGTCTCGTCACAGTAACCTCTGTATCCCAAGCTATAGCATTAACAAAACTAACTGATCTATATGGTAACCCCATCCTTGCAGAACCCCATCCAACCCTCAATACTTGCACCGGAACTGTTTCAATCTCCCCAGCAAATTGCCCAATCTATGACAAAGATTGGTCAGATTGTGGAGAAGTCTTACTCGCCTGTCTCACAGACAGGCGAGTCCTACTCCATTCCCCCCAGAAGTCATCGAAAGAAACCCACTAACATATTCAAAATTACTTTCCGTAGACATGGCCTTCCCTTTAGCGTTTACATAGGTGGAGAATCCCTCCCTGTCCATCCATACCAACCTCATCCACGTCAGTGCCAAAATTGTTGGCGTTTAGGACACCCAGCTATACATTGCCGTTCCACAGCCAGATGCCCACTATGTGCCCAACCTGACCATACTCGATCAAACTGCTCTGCACAATCACGCACATGTGCCAACTGTGGCGGCCCCCATAATGTATTTTATAGGGGCTGTCCCACCTACAAATTTGAGTCTGAGGTAGCAACTCTCAGATTCAGACTTGGACTCACACTACGTGAAGCCAGACAGGAAGCACGTCGACGAGGTTTCTCTCTTACTCCCTACTCCAATAATATTGCTCATTCTACCACTTCCCCTACCTCCCAAGCTCCTACACCCTCTCCTAAACCTCCATCTAACTCCCGCTGCTTCTACCTCCTACCTTCCCCAGTCAAATTATTTTGCCATCCTAAATCCAGACACTCTAATCTCTACTACAAACACTCCAATCTCCACTACAACCCCAACACCTTCCCCTCTCCCTCCCCGCACTACCCGCAACAGACAGAATAAACGTTCCATCCCCTCTTCCCCTACCACACAATCACCTCCACCTTCCTTTGCCCCTACTCTTGAGACACCAGTCTTCTCTTCCCCCCCCTCACAAGAAATCCTTTATCTCACAAAACTCCCCAACCAACTCCATTGAAGAAACTATTGAAAATATTTAACTACTTAATCAAAACTGACACTCATCAACTTTCAATTTCTACAACTCCTGCTCCCTCCACACTCCAAGTGACTGCCGATATCCATCCTCCTCCTAACAATATCCCCCCTACACCCTATCCTCCTACCCCCTCTCAACACAGCCCATCCCCTCCGACTCCAGCCCCGCCCACACTAACCCTCCCACCATCCCCTCTATCCCTTCCACTCCCTCCTGGATACACACGTGAATCCCTTATATCATAAGTATCCCTTTCCTCAGACCCTCCACCTCCTAATACCCCTCCTAATACAACACCAACTCCCCTACCTCCCCCCTCTCAGTCCTTATCCCACCTTCTAGCTCCTTACCCTTCAAATTCTCCGAAACGTACTACAGTCTATATCACTAAATCAACGAAAGTATAACTATCCTTCATTGGAATATTCGCGGTTTCCGCTCTTACAGACCCGACCTTCGTCATATCCTTTCCTCTTATAACCCATCCATTATATGCCTTCAAGAGACTTTTCCTACACATCCTCTATTACCAATCCCCAATTATCATTTTGTCTCTTCCCCGCACTCCCTTTATGTCTCGTCCATACTTATCAACCAGAAAACACCTTTTGTCATACCTCCCTTTCAAACCAATGTCCCTTGTACACATCTTTCTTCGCCGCTGGATCACAATGATTTCAGTTTACTTCTCCCCTGCCCACCCAATTGACTTTGTTGCTTTTGAAAATCTAATTTCCCGACTTCAATCACCTTTCCTTATAGTAGGTGATTTTAACTGCCTCCACACTCTTTGGAGTGATTTTATCACCAACTCCCGAGATTCTCCACAGCTGACATTATTCTGAATTCAGATCGCCCCACACTTTCCAGTTCTCCGGCTGGCGTACTTTCACTTTACTCTCTGCTATTCATATCCCTCCATCCTCCCTCTCATCCATTTCAGAA